ATCGTCATCGTCATCGTCATCGTCATCGTCATCGTCATCGTCATCGTTATCGTTATTATTATTATTATTATTATTCTATTCGGAAATATGGCATAGTTATATACTTAAGAACATTTGTGGAAATAAATAAAAAATTTTACTTACACTGAAATGCTAGAATTGATTTTTGACATGAATTTTCGTGTTGTCGTCGAAGAAAAAGTTCAAATACTAAAGTCGGACTTTAAACATTATAATTATTGTTTTAGCCAACACAGCGTCATTGTTCACCGCTGTATTCTGGTTTTTAACCTACATACCGGCTTTCTTGGCGTCAGTGGAAGTGAGAATGCCAATAATTGTACAGATAATCACTTGCCTCAGCCTCAACACTGCGATGGCTCACGGGTTTTCGATCCTATTATCCCATGAGGGTGCTGGAGGTTGTTGCCCTATTTTGTTTTTTATTACTGAGATTATAGTCAAATATTTTCTTTATTCAGCACTATGAGTGTTTTCTAATTAAGTAGGTGTATGCTCTTTAAACTGTTAAATGCCGTTTGATTACCATGTTTATTTAACGTCGTGAGGTAAGCTAAACAGCCAATGAGGATGCTATGATGTTATGTGTAACTTTCTAGTTGCCCTCACTTCCATACGGCTATACCTTTTTAAACAACTCACATACCTAATCATAGACATATGATAACAACGTTTGTATGAATTACTGGCCACAGAACATTTAATCGAAATCAAAAGATGAATGAAGTTATTATTTTTTTCAAATAAGTGTTCTGGTAACATAATGTAGCCATTGGCCCATATGTTCATATGTCGATCGAGTATCGACATCGAGTATATAACCAGCAATACAGATGAAATGCCATTCAATTTATTTGAAAAATATTCTGCCAACTTATTACGGTGACAACTGCGCTCCTATTGGCCAGCCCGAATTCGAAACAATTGACGGATATCGTTAATTGTTTCACTTCAAAACTACTGGTTTAACTTGAGCTTCGCTATAATGGATGAAAATTGCAAAATTACACATTTAATATATAAATTTAATTAACGATGAAAAGTGATACCGTTTGTTTTGGAATTAAATGTTTTGCTGTTTTTTTCCACACAACCGAATGGAACAACCCCCTCATTTTTAGAGATATTATCTTTATTGCAATAAATACAGAATATTTTTGGAATATACGGAGACGTACAGGTCAGTTGTTGGCGCTGTAGTATTTCAGCTTTCAAATTCTAGTGTCTAAACTTTATTTGATATTTAAAAGTGATATAAGCCCCATTTGCCTGATAAGTTGCCAGAGATGGAGGCCCTTATTTTGTCTCTATTTCTGGCTAAATGTATACTCGTTGATATGAACATTGTTATCATAACTAACTTTTTTTAGCGTTCCTCTAATACATGTTGAGTGTACGAGTAGTTTACTAAATGCATACATTGTTGTATTTTAACAATTTTTAATATGGTTGAAAAATTAAGTTTCAATATGAGACTTCATTTTGAAGTGGACCATAATTAATAATAATAATAATAATAACGCACACACTCAACATAGCCCCGCACTAGGGAAACCCTGTGTCGCGGGTGCCATGGACACATACATAGTCAACTACAAATTACACCCAAACTCACGAGAGAAATAAATGTAGACCATACAAATATTTCTCTCGGCTCGGGAATCGAACCTGCGACCTCAGCGTGGCAGTCCGGCAACCGGCCACGGAGGCGACAAAGTCAATTATGTAAATGATGATTTTTTTTGTGCAATTACAGGTATGCAATGGGACACATTTTTCTATTCTCCAACAGAAGAAAGTCCTCGTCTTCTATTCGGCCACATAGTCATAATGATGATTGTTGACTCGATTTTGTACATGCTCTTGACCTTGTATCTCGAGCAGATTTTACCTGGACCCTTTGGTAGCCCGCAAAAGTGGAATTTCATATTCGATAAAAGTTACTGGATGGGTATCTCAGCGACAGATGGTGAGTTTGAGAAATTATACATGTAGCGTAAAGTAAGGCAATTTGAACTTCATAGTTTAGCCCACAGACGCAAAGTTTCCCATCTGTCCGTTTTCTACAGAATATATAACTGTGAGTGTGCCCATGAGCTCCATCAGCTCATCCCGCCCGCCCCTTTTCATCATTGGATATCCTGACGTACGGATATCATCCTTACTTGGTCGATATTCCCTTCAGGCGTACTAAGCGCTTTTGCGCCAGGAATGGAATTCCCTGCCTGCGACTGTGTTTCCGGACTCCTGCAACCCTGGTATCTTTAAGGCGCGACTGAATAGGCATCTTTTTTGCGAGCTCGTTCCATTGTATATCCTATCTTTGCTCCAGAGCTAGATAGTGGTCAAGATCAATTCCATTTAATTAAAAAAAAAGGCAAGAAGGCACTTGAACCTGAAGCGCAATAATACCGGCCAGTCAAGAAATGCCGTAACATGTCAAGCTGGCCGCGAATGTTACGTTACGATACAATTTTTGTGCAGTCGCCAGCAATCCATGTCATCGTCGTCGTGGTTTGTTTTGTTTTCAGATGCACCACTGAAAGGATATAGTAACGAAAACATAATCGTAAAAGAGGAGGACCCAAGTGGACATACTGTTGGAGTAAAAATAAAGGTTAGTAGGTATTAAGTCTGTGATGAAAACTTACTATCTATTACTTATTTTTCTAAGGGCCTTGAACAGTTTGGTTTATAAATTGTTCGCCATTTTGATTTTTAGCTGTCTTCAAAAAAGGATCTCAATGTATTTTTTCCTTTTCAATTACTCCACATTTTATGAACCGATTTCGATGATTATTTTTTGTTGGAAACCTCTTGTTGTGGTACCATTCAAATTTGAATAACATAATAAAAATCAATGGCATATTTATAATAAAACGTGAAATTTACGTATATTATATTTTGTAAAATTTATACGTTCTTAATTTTTGTCATTATAATTTCATTATTATAATTATTATTTACTATGAAATGATTAATGAAAAGAAAAATTACGAATTACATTACAATAATAGGTACAATCATATACATGAGATACCTGACCCCCTAACATGCCCAAACCGACCTTTTGGTGCTGAGAGCCATCTTACGTATTGAACAAAGAAAAATTAAAGCAATTTCAACTTTATTGTGAAAGCAATACAGTGGAACACTCGACGTGAAGATGATGAACACATCTTTTAAACCATATTAAATTTCGTCATTTAACTTCCAAAGAAATTGGTCGAGCAGCTTGTTGTATCGACTGCCAGTTACAATACCCGTGGTTCGATTCCACGAGCACTGTTTTGTTTTAACGTTATATTTTTAACAGCATTGTTTCACTTTTTAATGTTAATTCATTAGAAATTGCCTAAGGTGAGTGGGTAGTAAAGAATGGGTACAATTCCTTCGATTTTTAATACAGTGAACGTTCGATTTAAATACAGTGAATAGCGACATCTCTAGCCGGGACTGGTAGCTGTAAAGGTATCTAGAGTGTCGAAATGCTTTCATAGATTTCTCATAGATGGCGCTACAGCTAAAAAGACGTTGAAAAACCAAGTACAAAGACACAATGAATTTTTAATGAGTGTTCGAGTATCTTTGTATTAATATTTATACCATTGTTATTATTTGCCAGAAATAATACCACTGTTTGGTTAGGCGACTCGAGTCGTACTCTCGGAGCGACGGTTCTGATTACTAATATCTTATTAATATGTTTCATTAATATGAAACCATTTAAATGTTTACCAACACCGAGGAGATTTGTACGTCAAGGTGATTTCTACGCTAAAGATAACACTTTCGTACGTTAGTTGTAGAAAGGGGTGAATGACCGCTATTGATATGATAAATGGCACTTAGGGTCGTATTCTAGAACTCTACTCAATGCTCAAGTCAGGATTGCACTGGAAACACAAGCACTGGAAATACCACCCTAATGGCAGGAACTTGAGTATGCTTTCGAGTGCTTTAAACCATACTCAAATCCTGACTTGAGCATTGAGTAGAGTTCTGGAATACGACCCTTAGTATGTAGGTACAAGTGACGCCATCTAGTAAATAGATTTAGAATAAAAACTAACTGTGAATTTATAACACTGTGAGAGCATAATAAAATCTTCCTTTTTATTTTTACCAACAGAATCTAACAAAAACGTATGGTACATTCACTGCAGTGAATAATTTGTCTCTCAACATTTATCATGATCAGATTACTGTATTACTTGGCCATAACGGCGCTGGTAAATCCACTACCATTTCTATGCTCACAGGTAACTATTTCAGGTTGTTCTTTTATTTTGCGTAGCTTGATTGTTTTTAATCAACTTCAAAAAAGGAGGAGGTTCTCAATCGTTTGTATTTCTTTTTAATAGGTACAGCATATCATGGGCGTGGTGTTACGGTATAATAATATAATTACATTATTTAATAGGAAATGAAATTATTTTTCCGGATTTAAATCGCGTATATTTGTTTTTTCAAACAAACCAATGTTTCGGGCCCTTTACAAGTCCCATGATCGCGGTTGGCTGATGTCCATGGGACCTGTAAAGGACCCATTGGTTTGTTTGAAAACATAAAATATACGCGATTTAAATCCTGAAAAATAGTTTCATTTCCTATGTGTAGCAATCGCGAAAACCTAAGAACTCGATATACGTTATTTAACTTTAAATTTTAACTAACTTATTATCGCTTTTTACTACGATACCTAAGAACTTGACTGCTGGCATTGCTAGTTACTATCTGATATTATAATGTTCGAAAACATATTCAATTATTTATTTACGTTGATAAAATTTTGTCGTATGATTTTTGTTGATATTAAATTTTTTTCTGGAATGGATGATAAATTCGTTCGCCTCCAATGTTTCTATTACATTTTATATTACTAGAATTATCATATAATACGCCAAATAGTGGACCAAATCCCGCCTGTTCGACGCGACAATGCCTACACGTCGCTAGCAGCGTAGGCTTGGTAGGGTCATAGTGCAAACTCCGTCTATTACTATTTTGTAAGAAGAAATATGTACTTCACTCAGTAGAGAATATGTTTTATATTAAGTATACTGCAATATACGTGCGGCTTGCGCAGTCCAAGCCGACCACAACCGCTTGCTACGTCTTCTTTTTAATTTTTTCTTTTAAAAAATTGCTGTGATAATTTGAGGCAATCTTTGTTGTTCGTCGTAACTACTGCTTTTATTGACCTGCTTAACCGTAGCGCTTCTATGCTGCTTTTATGCATTTCATTATTGATCTCTGTTTGTAAGGAAACGTGCGTATTACTCGAGGGTCAGTGACTGTGGGTGGCTACGATATTACCACACAGACAGTCAAAGCTCGAACCCATTTGGGTCTGTGTCCACAACACAACGTATTATTTAATGAGTTAACGGTTCATGAGCACTTGGAGTTTTTCTCTAGAATAAAAGGATTAAAGGGACCGACCATGTATGCAGACATAGATACGACTATCAAAAAATTGGAATTGGAATCAAAGGTACTAAATTGTCTTAATATATTCTTTTACACGTAGTGTGAGTGTTATAATTCTAACCATGTTCATGTTGTCATGACATGGGCATTGATCACATGATCAGAGATGGACAAGCGCCCGGGTTTTAACTCGGCGGGCACATTGTTAACACCGTATTTAAATCGGGTTAAAACCCTTTAACGGCAGACAAAAACTATTAACAACTAAATATTTGTAACTCTGGTTTTGTTGAAATGTGCCGATATTAATACAAAATATTTAATTCTTGCTAACATACGGTGCGTTTCTATTGAATCGATTCGCTTGAAAATCGCATTGAAATTAATGGATACAAAAACTCGTTATCGTATAGACTTGAATATATTTTCTTAAAAATCTAATCATAATGTGTATCCCTAGTGGTAAGTGAGAGTACACTAGATTACTGGGTGGATATTGCGTGGAGTTTCGTCTTTTTCGTCTAAAAATATTTAGATGGAAATTTCTAATAAGTATGGAATTATTGTAAGGTTTTATTTTTTCTGCCCACGATTTTGGGCAGAAATGAGAACCCGGAGAGCTTTGGGTGAAACCCGGTAAAACCCCGGATGTGAATGCATTGGGTTTTAACCCACTTTACCCATATCTGCATATGATACTTACAATATTTTCGCTGATAAAAGTTAATACGTTGGTTCTGATTACGTTCTGATGTAAATACCTAATAAAGATTTTTCAGATTAATTTTTGCTTTTATTTTACGGTGATGAGTAGACAGATAGAATATGAATGATTCCAACGTGTAAAGTTTATTGTTGTAGAGAAATTACTCTTCTGCCGGGCTATCGGGTGGACAGAAGCGACGGTTGCAAGTGGGAATAGCACTCTGCGGTGGAACAACCGTCGTCTTGCTAGATGAGCCGACGTCCGGTATGGATCCAGCTTCGAGACGAGCTCTTTGGGACTTGTTGCAGAAGGAAAAGAAGGGTAAAATGTTCCATATATTATGTAATGTGTGTGCTTTGGTACAAAACGCTGATGTTGGTTTTAGAAGCCGCAAATTTATAAGGGCGGGTCGCGTACAGCGGTGCGCCGTTTGTAGCGTAACATAGGTACGGACTTGTATTGACGTGTTTTCGTAACAGCGTTTACAGTGTATTTACATTTGAACGTCTTGTTCAGTGCAAAGACGGAGCATTGTGGTAAGCGTGCACGCAGATTCGTTTGTCGTATTTAAATCCGTTAGGCATTTTCGCATTTCGGTCGGCAATATGCGTACAAGTTGAGTTTTATTCATTGTGTCAAGATTTTCCGGTGAAAGAGGTTGCGTGTAGTTATAAATATGGAATGAGAAGGTTTTGACGTATAGAGTATTAGAAGAATCGATATGACTTGTTTAGTTAAAAAACTGGATGCACGGTATGACTTTGTTTAATTAATGATGGTTTGAAATCCATGGCCCTGGCTATGCTTTCACTTCTCTTATTATCATTTCGAATGACATTGTGACACGACACTATTCCAGCAGAATTATATTCACAAATTATACATGAAAGCAAATGGTTATTAATTACCATTATCTATTAATAGTACATAAGTATAACCAAAAATATCAAACCACATTAACTACTTATTCAATCCATGAAAAGTATTTGACTTCAACATTTTATTGTCATTACAAACTGAGATTAAGAAGAATATTTGTTATTACAAAAGTCTGAGAAATATAGTAGAAGTTGTCATTCTGTTTTCAAACAGAATAAGATCTGTGTGTTGTCCCTGTGAAGATGCTTGTCCCTGCGCAGCTGACTCTGGTCAATGCATTAAACGCCCTGCTTTAACGAAAACTAGTTGCGTGCACGTTCCACGTGGCAGCCCCCGCACAATGCGAGTCTTGAACGTCCAGCCGAATGTCCCGCGCAGGTGCGAATTTGCGGCCGGAAATGACCATGACGTAACTCTTTACACAAGCTATCATTACAAAAAAATTACAAAGTTGTCTAGTGAGAGTTTATACCATAATTGTGTAGCTCTGATATCGAAAGTATTCAAACACCGACTAAGTAATTTTGTATTGTTGGTGATAAACAGAAATGTGTGCGACCGTGTCGACTATCAAATCAAGAGTATCTTTAAATGTTTTAGGTCGAGCGATGATTCTAACAACTCATTTCATGGATGAAGCGGACATCCTCGGCGATCGCGTCGCAATAATGTCAGCTGGTTGCCTCCAGTGCGTTGGTAGTCCTTACTTTTTGAAACAACATTTCGGTGCGGGCTATACTCTGGTTATTGAGAAGTCAGAATCCTTCGACGTTGACGCTTGTACTCAGCTATTGAACAAATATATTCCAAACACTGTTGTCAAAGAAGATCGAGGTTAGTTGATTATGAAGTTGTACACCATTGCCAGTCTGAAATTGACATTAATGTGATATACTCATTTGAATTTGATTTTGTGGGATTTTTCTAGGCACCGAAGTTACTTATGCTTTGTCAAACGAGTACGCCCACATTTTCGAAGAAATGCTGTCCGACTTGGAGAGAAACCAAAACAATATAAAGTTTGATAGTTACGGGCTTGTTGCAACTACGCTTGAAGACGTTTTCATGGCGTAAACTATCACCATATTATTATTATATATATTTTCTTTGTTTCTGTAAATGTTTGAGACAGTCATGCATGATTGACTGTGGAAGAAAGATATGATTTGTGTTTGAAATATAATGTAATGTATTCTCTAGGCAGTTTTATCGAAATTTTACAGGGTGGGTTCAGAAGTGTATAGTGATGATGATTTACCTAACGATCCCTCGTCAGCACGAGCTTTAGATGAAAAAACTATACAATGTAATTGCGGTAAATGTGGTAATATCTTCATTGCGACTGGTGAACCAGGCCGTTGCTTGTTTGACGTTCCACAACGATATTGTAGTGCAGAAACTAAAATTCCCGACGATGAAAAATGCAAGTTTGACCCTGCATTGCGGTGCTACTGCGGAAGGGAGCATATGTTGCTAGGTGCGTTATTTCTTACTTTACGTAGAGACAAATTAATAACAAGTGATTCATGTACTATTTTAGCTAACTAACCTATAATCTATACACCAGTGAGGAGCCCAAACATTGTGTCTTTTTAATTAACATTTAGCTATAACAAACAATTTTCTGTAATTCAAACTGATTGCAAGTTTAGCTGTACTCTAAAGCGTGAAACACGCAAAGAGCTCGGTGTACGGTTCGGGAGAAAAGCCGCGTCTGTTGCCCGCCACTGCAAACAGCGCGCGGACGAGCGGGTTGGGAGCTGCTGTAACGTGTTGTATCCGTCGTAATACACGTATTGCCCGACAGACATTCACACTGATAGGTGCGCGAGTCGGGCGCGGCGGCGGCGGCGTAGCAATTTCGCCATGGCCGATGTGTTCGTTAACGTACTTGTCGTACGGGCCTAGTGAGAAAAACTAGGTATGGGTAATATAGCTTTTTCTGAATATCGTATCGAAACTGTATATCGATATTCGAAATCGGATTTCAAAGCTATATATTTTCTGAAACTATATATTCATGGATGCAGCCGGCGTGCGCGCTGCGTTCATACATTGCTGTTACTAATATTCGGAATCAGATTTCGAAACTATATATTATTGGATATAGCCCGCGTGCGCCCTGATACGTTGCCATTTGATTAAATCGTATCGTCCACCATTGGGTAGGAACGCGTTACGCCAGAATACAATAATTTACATCAAAAACTTAACTTCCCTTCATACAGTACACAGTTTCGAAGATGCACAAAAAACGGTTTGGCCTTGATATCCACTCAGTGAATATTTGATACGAAGCAATATCGGTATATACTTTGGAAAATATACTGTTTCGTGTTGGTATGCACTCGGTAATCGCTCGGCTTGATTCGGCATTGCATCGCTATAAAATACGCGATGCGGAGCAATATCGATATACCTAAGTTTCTAAAATACGAATATCTGATATTCGATATTGCCACAATATATAGATTCAATAACTACGAGTATAAACGATTTGTAACGCCCATCCCTAAGAAAAACTATAAAAACGCAGTTTTGAAAGCAACATTTTTTTAAATAGCCCCACACTGAAAAACCCTGTATCGCGGATGACATTAATTATAATTGAAGTAGTTGATAATTTTTTATCTAATTTGAAATGCTACATTCGTGGCAACTGTTGCCGCTGTCTAGTCGAGAATGCCCGAAAGCTATTGCGCTCTCGCGCCCGCATTGCGTATGAAGGCGTCTCACGCGACGGACACGATCCGACCCGCAACCGCTATGTGTGTGTTTCACGCTTAAGTATCGTAGGTATCAACATTTCTGTTACTGTCTCGACAATTTCAACACAGAGTAGATTAAAACGTGGCCAAATCGAAACATGTCAACAAGGAATTCGAAAATGTAGTATGTGCAGTGTAGCTAAATTACAAACAAAACATTTATTGCAGAAAGTCCCGCCGATAAATTTGCGTGTGATGTGGATAGTAAATGCGACAGAGATAAAGGTGCCTCTACTAGTCGAAAGGATGGCGGAAGACACTCTGATAATTTTGCCAAAGACGTCGAAACTAGCGGTGGCGAATTTGACAGCATTCGCGGTGCTGGCAATACCAAACTAAAAGCCATAACAGGGCAAAAATTACTAATTAATCAAATATTAGCAACTTGGATGAAGTTGTTTATTGTCTGGTCGCGTTCCTGGACGATGGTGTTGCTGCAGTTTCTGGCCCCCGTTTTGCTCATTAACTCGACCCTTGCCTTGATTGCGTATGCTACTAGAACATCGGATAGCATACAGAACAGGGCATTAGTACTTACTAAAGGGTTAGATTTTGAAGTTATTTATTTCACATAAAATGTAATATGAAAAAGTGAAGAAAATGAAAAAGTGAAAGAAATAAAACTAACGAATTCTATTCTCTCTCTCTCTTATCTATTTCTATCAATTCTAGTGACTTCTTACCCCTATGTCGTAAAGACTATCATGGTTGGTACCTAGAGTGGTCTTGAACAATAAAAATCTGTTCAATAATTATTAATTTCAGATTTGCTGAAACTGAAACTCTTCTAAACTACGTTAATACGGGTCTAAATACTATAGGCGCGTCATCAGGACAAGCTTATGTAGACATTTTTAATAAGGCCGACGTTGCAAAAATGCGACTTACTGTTGTTAACGAATCGATATCAGACTATTATCTTGAGAGAGTGAGTATTGGTATTATAATACGTATGTGTATAAGGGAGTTACCACACCTATCGACAAGGAATCGCATTAAACCGGCCAGAAAAAGCTTTATGTCCATGTAATAAGAGCGAAAAAGACTGCGCTTCGCATCGTCGGTCCAAGCGAAAGTGGAACGCGCAACGGCTTTTCGCTCTTATTGCATGGACATAGGTCATAGTTGCTCAAAGTGGCCAGTGGGCGCTGAATAGTTCTAGTAGGAGCCTCAGACGCAATTGGGGGCGTAGGTGCTGTCCAAGGGATGCTACCGCATTTGAAAAAAGCACCTGAATTATCTATTATCTCATCTTTAATTTTTTTTTTTTTGGTAGTGGGCGTGGAAATTTTTAATCTTGCCTTTTTCTAAGTGCCTAAGTGAGCCAAAAAGGGAAACTATGTGTAGTGTGTGCACATAATGTACCATAGACATTAGACAATATAAGTTACACTGCGGCCCGCGCGCCGTTCCCGCATTATGACACTAGACAGTGGTGTGAGCGGATGTATCGTGTACGTGAAGTAAACACATGTTGAATCATTGAGCTATTTCTGTACTAAGCAGCGTAAACGCCACCCTATGACTTAGGTAAAGCTTTTTATGATGGCTTAATGTGACTCCGTGGCGATAGGTGTGGTGACTCCCCACTTATAAACAATTTTCCTCATTAGATATAACAAACAATAACATTTCACGACCAAATGTTTTAAATTTTATTTTAGTGAGCAAAAATTTCACTCGCCAACAGGTCACGCTATAAAAACGGCGCCATCTCACCTTTCCATTGTGAGGAATGCACATTTTTTAACACACAATTAATACAGTTGATTGATGTTTAATTACCAACGATCGGAATATGGTGTTCCAAATAATTAGATAAATGTCTACATGTATGTAGATACAAGTGCGACTTAAAGTGGTTTATATCACCAAATATTAAATAATAACTTTTTTGAATTCCGGATTTTCGGAAATAGTTTTACTATACCGTAAGATAAAACTATTGATCTACGAAGCTGAAGTTGGATTTTAATGTAGTTCTTGTAGCGCCATCTCAAAAAATTCAGTATATAAGTAGATTACTTATCTCCTTATCACCAAGGTAATTTTTTTTAATAACTACAAGCAACAGCTTGTTTTAACTAATGCGGATATTCTACATACTTTTATATTTATTATTTTATAATATCAAGAGACGGGACGAACAAGTCGTGGGCCTCGTGGTAAGCGACACGCCTGTTTATTATACCTTTCAAATCCGGAACGCAGTCAAGCTCACATTACTGCTGGGCAGCATAAATTGGTAAGGTGACTGTACTTCTCTGGACGCACTCTTTTACAGGAAGCCCTATTGCTACCAAAAAAAATTGTAATAGTTTAAAAGGGAAAATTTACTAGTACTCTATGCTATAAAACTACACACATCAAAAGTGTCTAGGGATCAAGTACGTTTAAGAGTATTGCTGCAATTAGGGTTAATTATATTAACTTTTTTGTATCGCTATTGATACTTTTTAGTGAGTTTTAACATTTAAATAAGGAATATTGTTTAAAATTCGATAATAAGAAGAAAATCGATTGTCAATGTGGTTTTGTATAAAAATGAATTATAGCGTTTTGACAAAATCATTACAATATCTGCATCGGAACCGAAACAATTTACATTATTTTGGAGAGACGACATTATTTAACTCGAGAAGTGATGATGCGAGCCGTCGGAATGTTGGAAGCTGGTTCCAGGCAACGTGCTGTGGCTTTCACTCTTAACACTACACAGAGCGTCATAAGTCGCCTCTGGACGCGTTATCGCATGACGGGCAGCGTGGCCGAGCGACATGGAGGACGATCTCGCATCACGACTCGCAGACAGGACCGGTATATCCAAAATACTGCTCGACGGAATCGTACCATGACCGCCATGATGTTGGTTACGAGGCTCCACAGCTCCTCAGGCTTGCTAATAAGCGATCAAACAATCCGAAATCGTTTACGTGAAGTGGGTCTGCGATCCCGAAGGCCGCTCAGAGTTCCACCTATTGCACCCTGCAATCGCAGGACCCGTTTACGATGGGCTCGCGAACACAGAAACTGGGAGGAAGAAGACTGGCGCTATGTGCTTTTCGGATGAATCCCGCTTCGGTATGCGACCGGATACAAGACGTACTCGAGTTTGGAGAACATCTGGACGTCATGAACGTTTGAGATATTGTCAGGAAGTTCATCCATATGGTGGGGGAACAATAATGATATGGGCCGGTATTTGGATCGGCGGAAGAACCGATCTCATTTGGATCAGGGGTAACCTCAATGCTCAAGTTTACGCAGAGAGGATTGTTTCAGATGTTATCATCCCTTTGCGAGGCCAGTTGGGTGATTCATTTCAACTAATGCATGACAACGCGCGTCCACACACGGCTAGAGTCGTAACACGCATTCTTGCCGAAGCTCGTATCAACGTTCTGCCGTGGCCTGCTCAATCGCCAGACCTCAATCCAATTGAGCACGCATGGGATATGCTTCAAAGAAGAGCTGTGCCGAGTATGTATACCGTACATACTCTACAACAATATTTTGACTTGTTACAAAACACATGGGCGGCCATTCCTCAAAGTGATTTTGATGAACTCATCTTAAGCATGCCAAATCGCTGTAATTGTGTGATTCGTGTTAATGGTGGAAATACAGATTATTAATTTTCTTATCTTTACAATAAAAATGAGCAAAATCATCATTTTCGCCATTTTTTTGTCATTTAATTGACGCCGTTAATTTGAGTTTTTTCCCACAATTTGCAAAAACATCAATTTTAGTTTATTTTAATTAATTATAGGGGTAAGCGGTTAAATAAAACATAAGCATTAAAGTAAGAAGTCGTCCTGGAAGACTGGATTTGGTAAATATTGCTTAAATAATTTTTATTTCAAAAATATTCACTTGATCCCTAGACACTTTTGATGTTGTGTATTTCCGGAAATCAGGATTTTGAAAAAATAATTTATAGATATTTGGTGGTTTTAACCACCCCATGTCACTCCTTGTGTCTATTTGTAGGCATTCTTTTTTATTATTATTTATTTGGAACACCTTTTTCTGATCATGGATGGTTACCTCTGATCAACGTAGATAACATAAATTTACTTTTGAAGGCCAGTAATCCTTTAACTTTGGGACATCTGCGGAACCAATTACTTATTGGGGCAACATATGAAGATAACCAAGCTGTAGCTTGGTATAGCAATTTCGGTCACCACGATTCGCCAATCTCCTTAGCCTATGTCCATGCCGCAATATTGCGGGGTTTGTGTGAACAATGTAAGATGACTGTGTACAACTATCCACTTCACGCCCGGTACTCTCATAAGGTGATTATTAAATCTTTGTAAAACAATATGTCGGCCTATTTAGGTAGGATGTTAACGTTAAATAAAGTCCACCATATTTAGAGAAGAGAGAGAGAGAAACGCTAAAAATGTTTGAATTACGATAACAACGGAGTGCACTATTCATGTCCTCTGTACCTCTGTACCTATGGGCAACAATCAGCGAGCATGTTATGTCGAATGGCAAATCCTTTGGCGGTAAGCGGCAATAACTGTTAGGCCACAACACTGGTGTATGCCACCGGTACAATGAGAAAAAGATGATAACAAGAAACACTGGCCACGTACAGATGGGTACTGACCGGCGTTACGGGCCGTAATGTACCATTCGCATCGAGCATGATACGTTACGCCGCATACTAAAATTCGTGAAACACGCTCGTTTCGAACTTTTGGCTCGCCTGTGCTCCAGATTTATTGTCACTCGTAGTCAAGATGTCGGACGACCAAGTTGTGTTGGGATCTTTGGTTTTACTCCAAATTAAGTTGTTTAATCCAAATTAAGATCCTGGATGACCCGGAATGACAAATTAAGATTCTATAAAACAGGTTCTTCTGTATATTTGTCTATGAAGTACATAGTTTTCTCTTCTTTAACAACAAATAATCACAACTAATAAAGGGCCCGAAATACCTAACATCGACGCTTGTGCTACGTGCGCTGGTGACGACTCGCTGCGACGTACGAGTATATTATACATTACGCCCCGTAACGCCGGTCAGGCCGCCCGCCTTAACAATATCAGAACGCTTAATTTAAAAAAAGGAAGACTTAAATCAATGACTTAAATCGACTTTTGTAGTTCATACGAAGTTTGTAACCGAATATTCGTTGCAACACCAGAAATAACGTAATATCAATGAAATTTTCAGAGTAATTCACAAATGATATTGCAATTGCTAGCGTCGATGCTTGCAAATGGAATTGGTAATAGTGTTGGTATTGTAAGCGCCATGTTCGTCGTGTTTTACATCAAAGTACGTATATAATTAATAAAAATTCGTATTAATGAAAACGTAAAGTAAAAGAAGAAGAAAAAAGCCTTTGGGTTAATTACGTCCACCCATTTTTATTAAAGTACAGTCATATACATTAGATACCTGACCCCCTAATATGCCCAAACTGACCTTTTGGTTCTGAGAGCCATCTTACGCATAGAACAAAGAATAAATTAAAGCAATTTCAACTTTATAATATAAGCAATACAGTGGAGTGTTGCTTGAAGATGATCAACTTATTTTTAAAACCAATATTAAATTTCGTCACTTAACATCCAAGTAAATTGGCCAAGCGGCTTATTGTATGGACTCCCAGTTATAGTATCCGTGGTTCGATTCCACGAGCACTGTTTTGTGTTAACGTTATACTTTTAACGGCATTGTTTCGCTTGTTAATGTTAACGGTGACTAATAGCAATAATGGTCACTACAAATTGCCTAAGGTGGGTGGGTAGATATTATTAATAAAGCGCAGGGTGGGTATGGATAGCTTAACAAATCCCGAAATCGCACTGCAGTTTGCATACGATCGTGTCTTCTGTGATTACGCATTGTTCCACGTTTCGTTTCCATTTATCTATTCAGTTTTAATGACTTTCAAAGTTTCTTTTCTTGTTTTAATAATATGCCGCACTTAACGAAATTATTAAAAGTGAGAAATTATTAATTACATTTTTATTGAATTGATATTCAATTATTTTTTGTGAAATTACTCCACTAGTTTGTTATAATTATTAATACAAAGATCGAACACTCAGAAAAAACAGTCAGAAAAAATTTCTTCGATCCGGTCGGATTTGAACCGACGTCTTCTTGCATATCGTGCCAGACGCTATACCAACTAAGCCACAGAACGAACCAACGGACCTCACGAATTTTTCTATGTGCTTGCGTCGTGTCTTTGACCGGATCGAAGGAATTTTTTCTGAGTGTTCGATCTTTGTATTAATAATTATTAGAAATTATTGTTTTATATGAACAAGACTTACACCTACCCAGAGGTTAAAAACAAAAAAAATACTGTATTATATAGCCATAGCCAAATAATATTTTATTTTTAAGGTGACTCGAACCATGCTTGCTCCAACTTGCAAAGCAATCCATAAACTTCTAGGCCACGACGGCTTTACCACAGCTGGTTGAAATTTGTATTCTGTATTTAAGTAAGAACTATACGTTAAACATTTTTTATTACATTTAACTGCCTCCGTGGCCGAACGGTTACCATGCCGGACTGCCACGCAGAGGTCCCAGGTTCGATTCCCGGGCCTGGCGAAATATTTGTATGACCTACATTTATTTCTCTCGAGGGTTTGAGTGTAATTTGTGGTTGTTTATGTGTGTGTCCATGGCACCCGCGACACAGGATTTCCCTAGTGCGGGGCTATGTTGAGTGTGTGCGTTATTATTATTATTATTATATTGACTTAGTTAAAGATCAAATTGGTTTAAAAACTTTCTTATAATGTCATTCACTAATGAGACGACCAGGGAGTCATACCAAAATAAATTTTACGGCTCACAGGTTAAAAGTTAAATTTTGTTTAACAATTTTCTTCACATTTTTGTGCTCAGAACCAAATGGTCGACAAAGTCGGATTGGGGGATTAGGTATCTTGTGTATATGACTGTACGAAGGTTTAGAGGAGTCACCACGGTTATCGACACGGAATCGCATTAAGGTGGTCAGAAATAGTTTTATACCCACGTAATATGCTTTTATGTTACGCTTTGCTTTCTTGCAATTCCTTTGCCTCATAATTCTCATTTTGTTTGGTTGCGCCCGTCTGCCCGCTCTTCCTGTGTCGCTCACGTGACACAAATATCGTAATCGGATTTAGAAACTAAATACTACTATTAACTAGTTCCATTTTGTTGTAAATGTTGAACACTGCAACGCACACGTATGTATCAAATAAATTTGTGACGTTGTGACATTGACTTACAATTATATGGACGTCGGGTCCGCGCTAAAAAGTGTC